TGGAGGAGAAACCGCCGCCACCGGCGAACAGCGCAAGGGTTGTGCGCCGGGAGCGGCGGGCCCGAGCGAGCCAGGACTCGAAGAAGGCGAGGTTAGGGGGGTGGAAGGAGGTGGGGTAGGGGATAGCCTGCTCCTGCCAGGGGTAGGCACGGGCCTCAAGGGTGAGGGCGGTGAGGTTGAAGAACTCCGGCGATTCGAGGAAGGAGGTGCCGAAGAGAGGGGGGTCGGTGGAGGGCGGCTGGGAGAAGTCCCAGGCGGGCCGGGCCATGACGAGGAAGTGGTCGTGGCCGGAGCGGCGGCGCCAGATCGAGGGGTGGTTCTCAGCGGCGATGTGGCGGAAGAGATCCAGGCCGTGGCGGTGGCTGTGGTTTTGATCGGGGCCGAATAGGTAGCGGAGGGCGTCGAGTCCGGCGTAGTAGGGGAGGTAGACGCCGTCGGCGGCAGAGGGGTCGGGGGTGAGGCAGGGGTACTCGAGCATGCGGCGGTGGAAGATGAGCTCGAGCATGGAGGGGTCGGTGCGGTACCAGCTGCGGGAGGAGTTGTGGGTTTTGGGGCCGAGGCCGTGGTTGGAGACGAAGGGGCAGAGGTCGTCGGCGAGGGGGTAGGCGGAGCAGTTGGTGAGGAGGTCCAGATTGAATCGAGGCGGGAGGTGCCGGATGTGGATCCACCGGCCTGTGCAATCCGATTCGGAATCCGGGTCGTGGTGGAGAGCGGAGAAGGAGACGGAGGCGGTGGCGAGGAGGAGGAGGAGGATAAACATGGGGTGGAGGACGTGGGCGGCGCGCGGCGGTGGCATTGTGGCGGTTGTAGATTGGGGATGTGCGGTGGAGAGAGAAAGGGGGTGGGGTTGTTGGAAAATTTGCGTCTCGGTAACTGAATTTGGTCGTGGTTAAAATTTGGATTAATGTTATTTTGATACGATTACTATGATAATTAACTATTTAATCATTCGAATAATATTCTAATTTGCAGAAATTAAAAGAATATAATAAAAAATTTAATTGAAATAAAGTAGTAGTATTCATTTGAAGAGAGATTTAAATAAATTTTTGTGTTTTACATTTTTTACCTGTTCAATTCCTACCTATATTATTTGCCCAAAACAAGCTGTCGGTGGGAGTGCTGACTGGGTTTAAATAAAAGTGGCTGATCCGTAAATAGCGGCATTAAATAATGGCTATTTGAACCAGCGAGAATAGAGTAAAGTGGCGTGGGGTGGTTGTGTGAACAATTATTTTATTTTATTTTTATTTTTTTTTTTGGTACAGGGAATCTAGGGGAACCGACTAATTCGGAATCAAGCCGGTTAGGACTAAAAGGGCGGCAAAGCTCTCCTTTAAGAATTGTAACAC